TCAGACTAACTGAACCTGTGTGTGCCTACGTGTCGGATTCAATCCCCAGCTGTCCTTTCTACCCTACAGCACCTGGTCCCTGACCAGGACCCCTATCCTCCACCTCTGTCACATTGCCCATCTCCGACCATACCTCACATCTAATGCAGCCTTATCCATTTATTCATCACCTCCCGCCTCAATTGTTGCAGTTCCTCTGCTCAGCTGCCTCCTTTGCTCAGCTGGCTCTGCCTCCTGCACGTTCAGTGTCCCCTCCGCTCCACTATTTGTGGCCGTGTTTTCAGTCGCTTTGCCCCAAAACTATGGAATTTTCTTCCTCAATCCCTCCACCTTTCCTCTTGTATTCAGATCACACCTGAAGACCTTCCTCTTATGCCAGTGATCACCTTCACCCCCACCCCGGCTTGCTGTCAAGCTCCACCACTTAATCATTCGGGGACACTACGCCAAGTGAAGGGCGCTGTATAAATGCAAGTTGTTTTTTTATTCATCTGAATTACAGTAGAAGCCCATTATAACACTATTATAATAATCCTTACAATTGATTTAGCTACATCTAATAGATTTTATGATCTTCATCAAGATGTCTCAAAGTGCTTCACAGGATTTTATTGTAAAGTGTAGTGACTGTGTACTTGTAACTGAACACAACAGTCAATTTGCACACACCAGTATTCTACAAACCATAATACAGTGAATGACTCATTTTATTTGGAGGATTATCGGCCAGGACACCTGGGGAAACTCCCTCATCTTTTTCAAACTGTGCCATGTGGTCTTTCACTTCTACCTGAACAAGCAGACAAAACCTTGGTTTAACATCTCATGCGAAGGACGGCACCTCCAAAATTACAGCACTACCCCAGTACTGCCACTGGGGAAGTGGTGATCCTGATGGGTTAGTTGACAATGAACAAGCAAACAGGATGCTGAGCTACATTTCCAAAACAGTGACATTCAAATTCCCAGATATTATTCTAAGCTGTATGGTGCTCTGGCTAGTCGTGTGCCTCTGTAATCAAAGCAAACAAAATTAGCAGGCAGCTATGAGCATCCATAGTAGAGCATCCATGCTATTGGGGAGGAGCTACAAGAGTCCCAAAGGAAGTCTATTCTTTTGACAGAGCCCAAAGTTTCAGACTTGCTTTAAAACAGATCTGAAGCTGTTCAACCACAGAGAAATGAGAAACCCATATTGAAAGAATTACTATTTTTAATTATCAGCATGTGATAGATGCCATTATGTTAAATTATACAACAAACATGACAAAATATTAATCATTCCAAACTAAAACTAAATCCTCCATAAACCATAATATTTTCAATTACTTTGCTTTCAGCGTCTTGGGATGTCCTCCCGACGTGAAAGGCGCGAAACAAATGTAATGCTTTTTCATCATTCAATTGATATGAACCATACCAAATATTAATACAATGCAGTCTTATTATAACAGTGTTTGGGATCCATAAAATCCCACATCACGAACAACAAAATTTCATTTATAGAGCGCCTTTCACGTCGGGAGGATGTCCCAAAGCACTGAATAATCAGGTGTCAGGGCCCGAGCATGGGGGAGGGGTGGTGTAGGGGTGAGGGAAGGCAGAGAGGTGGGATGTAGACCAAAGCCACAGTTGAAGAAAAGGGTCTTGAAGGAGGCAAGGGAGGAAGCGAGGCGAAGGGACCCATGAATGGTGCGTGAGAGTACATGAGCTGCAGAATTTTGGATGATCTACAGCTTGTGAAGGGAAGAGTTGGGAAGACCAATGATGGGGGAGTTCCTGTATCGTGCCTTGGTGTGACAAATGCGTGAGTGCGGGAGGAGAGGCGGTAGAGGAGGATTGAGTGGTCCACAGTGTCAAAAGCAGCGGAGAGGACGAGGAGGCAGAGGGAGCCCTGGTCATACATGGTCAGGATGTCATTTGTAAACTTGACTAGAGCAGTTTCCGTGCTGTGGGCAGCACAGAAACCCGATTGGAGGGGTTCATGGAGGGAGTGAGAGGAGAGGAAAGAGCGAAGCTGGGAGGCAACGGCTCTCTCAAGGACCTTGGATAGGAAGGGGAGATTTGAGATGGGCCGGTAGCTGTGATGGGTCAAGGGAAGGTTTCTTCAAGGTGGGGGTGATAGTGGCTGTTTTGAGGGGGGAAGGAACAGTGCCAGATGACAGAGGTTAATGATGTCGGCGAGTAGTGGGGCAAGGAAGTGGAGCTGGGATTTAAGGACGGGGGTGGGGATGGGGTCGAGGGAGCAGGTGGTGAGCTTCATGGAGGTTACGGTGGTGAAGACAGAAGAGGGGGTGACAGGTTCAAAGGTGTGGAAGGAGGGATGGGTAATTGTCGGATGGGTAATTGTGTGGTGTAGGGGTAGGGAGGGGGTGGAAGTTGGGAGGGCAGTGGCAGCTGAGCGGATTCCCTCAATTTTGGACTCGGAAGTTCAGCATTTTCTCACAGTGAAAGTCAGAGGAAAGAATCTGCGAGGCATGTCGGGGAGGGCGGAGGAGCTGGTTGATGGTGGAGAACAGGAGCCTAGGGTTGCCCTTCGCCTCCAGGATTAACTTGGAATTGAAGAATAATTTGGCCAAGTAATACAGTAAACCTCACATAACTCGTTTAAGTTAGGGCCAAACATTTAATGACTCATACAAAGAAATTTTATGTTGGGAAAATTACCAGTTTCAGTCACAAACTCCAGAACTGCAATTAATTTAGTTTTTTTTGAGTTGCATATTTTCATTGTTTACTATAAGATAGCAAAAATATAATTGCAAAAAAGAGCGGGCCTGGGTGTTTCTATAAAACCATAGCATTGTCTTGAGATAGGAACGCTACAACAAAATAAGAAAAGCCTACTTTAGAGATTAGAGGATTAACCTGGAATAGAAGGATGATTTGGCTGAGGCAAGCGCGGAGCTGTAGGTCTTGATGAGGTCCAGCCAGATGTGGCGGTGGACCATTAGGACAGATTTAAGCCAAGTGCGTTTGGCAGACTGCACCTGGCCCTTAAGGGAGCGGCGGTGGCTGGTGAACCAGGGTGAGGATCGGGAATAGGAGGCAGTTCGGGAGGTGAGGGGGACAAGGGCATCGAGTGTGGTGGAGAAGAGTGAGTGCAGTGAGTGGGTTGATACGAGAGGTGGGCCAGAGGGGAAGGAGTTCAGAGAACTCCAGGGCAGCGCGAGGGATTGCGGGGAGATCTTCTTCCACGGGCGGTAGAAGATGATGGTAGGTTTGGAGGCAGTGGGGAGAGGGATATGGGAGTTGAGGGAGATGAAATGGTGGTCAGAGTGGGCCTTGTCAGCGATGGTGACATCTGAGACGCTGAGGCCCCGGGTGATCACCAGGTTGAGCGGGTGACCGTGGACATGGGTAGCAGAGTGGATGTCAAGGGAGAGGTTAAGAGAGGAGAAGTCTGAGGAGGTGGAGGTCTGAGGAGGTGGATCACTTTATGTGATAGCAAGGTTTTACTGCACATATACTCTGCCAGTTGAGTCGCTTCCTGTGCACTGGCTGGCTCCCATGCTAAAAGACAAAATGGCCAAATTCCAGTTGATCAGGTCACAACTAAGTTTATTTCTTCTTTTCTGCACATGCAGAGCAGAAACTGAGGTTGAAGAAAACCTTATGACCCAGAAGTCAACTATTTTGTCTCTTAATGTGATGACTGTCTGGCACCCAGGAAGCGAGTGAGCCAGTTGTGTGCATATGGATGGGGATTGTATGTCAGTGGTGTCCACAGGGAAACTACATTAAACAAATTTGCACTGTACTGAAGCACAATGTTTGAATGCTCTGCTTTTGGCTAAAGTAAAATCAGAAATACTCTACTTAATTCAGAAATGGCTATGACGCAATATCCCTATGATTGGACAACCTGCCAACATCCAACATAAGGGGGCTGCACAGACACTAGAGGCACTGCAAAGGAGAGAAATGAGGGGGATCCACAGTTTTAGAGGAATAAGCCATGAACAACGATCGAACAAGCTAGAGCTCTTCAGTCTTGAATAGAGATTTCTCAGAGGGGACTTCATAGAGGTTTATATGATTTTAAACTGGATTGAGAAAGTAAATTCAGCACAATACTTTCAACTACAAAGCAGAACAAGATTTTACAGGTTTAGGGTTGGACCATTATAGTACAGACACCAAGAAGTATTTCTTTACCCAGAGGGAATTGACGACTGCGAAACGTCATCAGGAAAAATAGTTGAGGCCAGGGCACTGGAATCATTCAAAAAACAGCTTGGGGGCTAGTCATGAGAAGATGGTAACATGGATACTCTGGAAAGATAAGACTAAATGCCCGAAAGGGCCTTCATCATCTGACCCTTGCGTGTGCTCTGCTGTCTAAGATTACACATGAAGAATGACCACCTGATGAGGTACTAAGGGGACTGAACATGCAAATCCATGTTCCAATATTTAGCAGTTTCTTTGAAGGGGAAAGATATTTCCTTTGATATTAACATAGAGCTATGTTTAAGATATACAAATACAATTCTTAACTTTCAATGTATGAGCAAATACAGACCAATACTAACTCAAGTTACTAATAGTGAAACTGAAAACATATAGTATAAAATCATTACTAGGAGAAACTGGATTGCAAAGATAAGTTCAAGTCTCCCACTTAAGAATACAAATGTTTGTGGGACTCAATCTACGACTGTTTGCGGGACACTGCTGTGCCTGCCGCGTTTGCTTTGAAACGCCTCAATGATGTGGTAAGGAGGAATATGAAATGCAAGGATTATCATTAAATGCTTCAGTACTGTAGATCCTGGGCTGACTTCACAATTAAATTAATGATGGCTCTAGATAATTTCTACAGAAAATCTGATCATATTTAAATAGCATTTCATTTAGAACTATTTTTTGTTAGCCATAAAACAATTTGTGTTTCATTCGCGTGCGTATCCTCTCTTGATGGAAAATTTCAACAAAAACTTTTATTTCTTAAATACTTGATTTTAAATCCCCTGCCTTCAATATTGTTTTTTTCATACCTTGCACAACAACTTGGCTGCCTGGAACAAAGAACTGTTGTGTGCCGTCACTCGATTGTGCAGCATATTGCACAATGGTGGCCCCCGGCTGTGGCGTTCCAGCATTTGTCATTGTAAGAGTCTGTAGTCCCTGGACACCGTCAGCCCCTGGATTTGCAATCTGGATCGTTCCGCCTTGGGCAATTGCAACTAAAGAGTGAAAAAAGAATAATTTTCACAAATTCCAGACAAGGTACAGAATTTTTAAATGTTTTTAAACTTGCCTAAATGATCGATTTATAGTAACAAAATGTAAACAGTCCCCTTACAAAATGTAAGGAACTGACCTATCTGTTAGCATAAATAGGCATGGTTACAGACTTTTTGTGGGAGCTTACATTCCTTACATTTTTCCTTACCATGTGATGCAAGTATAAGATAGCAATTAGGGGGAATCTAAAAGAGAATTAAGAGGCATTATTTCATGCTTCATACTTCAGGCAGTGAGAATGTAGAACTCAATGCCTTAAGTGTCGGTTGCATCAGATAGTATAGATGTATTGAAGGGGAAGCTAGATGTACACGAGGAAGTAAACAGAAAGGCATGGGAGGAAGTATGGAGAGGGTGGAAACTCATGTGGCGTATAGATGCCAGTATGGATTAGTTGGGTCGAATGGCCTATTTCCGTGCAATAAATTCTATATAAAACTATGTGTACCAAAGTGGTTTCTTCATTACCTTTGCAGTAAAAAAAATCCCTGCAGGACACCACTTGCCAGTACCTCAGTTTTAAATGCAAATAATATTAAAACAACAATGTCTTTCTGTTAATGAACAGCTGAAACTAAGGCTGTGTATCATGTGACAAGGACTATGGGAAGAGAGTGGGGAGTGGAATTGAATAGCTCTTTTCAAAGAGCCGGCACAGACACGATGAGGCAAATGGCCTCCTTCTGTGCTGTAAAATTCTATGCTTCTGTTAGGGAATTTGATTGAATGACCATTTGTGCAGAAGGGGGAAATGAAGCAAGCAATAGATTATCAATAGATAAATTTGAAGGAAAGAAAAAAATCTTGTGATACATACTGTATTGACCAGTACTTGTCTGGTAGATAGATGTCGGTACTGCCATTGTTGTGATAGCAGCGGTTGCTCCCTCTTCTTCAGATTTTTCTTCATCAATCTTTGGAACACCAGGTGCATCCGAAGATAATTCATTTAGGATTTTTCTGAAACAACAATGAAGTACAATCAATCAAATTTGCTGAAGAAAATAGGTTATATTTAATAGTTTACTACAATTTTTTTTGACAATAAAAGATCTTAACAATGCCTATTTACAAGATCTGTCTAAAGATATTTTTATGTGCATATTCACAGAAGTTATTTTTGGTCAGCTGGGTGTCTGACACTCAGAAACCCATCGTCAACCTTGGGTTTGATGATGGGTCAACCTTGACATCTTGTTTGACCCTCAACTATCCTTTCTACCCCACATCTGTGGCATGACCCTCTCTGCCTTCCCAGACCTCCGCCACATCGCCTGGCTCCACCACTGTCTCACAACGCAGGCCGGCGAAACCCTCTTACACGCATTCATAACATCCAGGCTTGTCTATGCAAACTCCTTGCTTATCGGCCTCCCCAACTCCTCCCTCCATAGGCTGCAGATCATCCAGAACTCTGCAGCCCGTGTCCTCTACCGCACCGGGCTCCATGACCCCATCACCCCCATACTCACCCGACTCCACTGGCTTCCTATCACACAGGATCATAGTTCAAGATCCTGGTCCTCACCTTCAAAGCCCTCCATAGTCTTGCTCCCCTCTACCTCTGCGACCTCCTAACCCCCTACCATCCTGTTCGCTCCCTCTGTGAGCTATGGCCTGCTTCACATCCCCCACTTTGTCCCGCCCCCATCATTGGTGGGTGGTCCTTCTGCCACTCTGCCCCCACCCTCTGGAGCTCTATCCCGCTATCCCTCCACCTCACCCCTTCCCTCCTTTAAGACCCTCCTCTTCGACTGTGCTTTCGATTACCCTGCTTCACCCCCGACCTCCACAATCCCGACCCCCAGCTCGGGTCCGAAACACTGACAGTCCAGAGCCTTGAGATGTCTTCCAACGTGAAAGGCGCTATACAAATGTAATTTTGTTGATGTCGTCATGCTCTTAAGAGTATCCAAACCAGGGTTCCACATATGCCACATACCCATATCATGTACAAATGAACATTTCCTTTGTCTGGAATAGTGTGTGCATTCTCTCTCTAAAGGTATGCACCCGGTTTACTCAATCCCAAAGTATTAGACACAGGTTGGCAAGAGCCAAAGCATCATGGATCCCAGTGTGCATTGGGAAATTGTTGGAATTTAACCAACTAAAACTACCTAGCTTACCATTGCAAGCACTGTCTGACAAGTTTTTTTTGTCGCTTGTCCAGTGGCCTGTTTCATGTTCTCTGCCTGATCGAGCCCACATGGTGGGCAAGTTTTCAGCCATTCTGCCCTCTTCCCCGCAATTCCATTCTGGAGTTCTTCTTCCTCATCTACCCCTCCTCTCACCACGCACACTTTAAAGTAGTCTTAAGATCTATCTTTCACAGATCGATCGTGTTTCCCATGTACATAAATGAATTGCACTTGGATGTAGGTAGCATGGTGTTAAGGATAGATGCAAAAAAGCCAAGAAACAAATTAGGCAGGAATATGAATGGTTTTAAGTAGAAATCATATTTGATCTCGCTCACGGGAATTTATGAAAAATATGTTTATTGTAAACAACTGTGCAATTGTGAGCTGCAGTTTGGAATTCATTAGAAGTATGTTTCCAAAATCCATGTAGCAATCTATTCAAATGGTGGTCCTTAAGATAGCTAAGGCTAAATTGAGATTTTAAAAGGACAATAACTAAAAAAGATTTTTTTAAAAGAAATCAAGTAACGAGTGAAGAAGTGAAAGATAGAATAGAAGCAACAACTCTGATGAGTCTAGGTTTAAGGCCAATGTTAGAAAGCTTTGCATGTGGTTACCTGTGATTCATCCACAGATTACTGAAAGACAGGTTTCCAATCTCAACCTGCCACCTGGTGGTATTGCTGAACTGATGCTAGTCACTTTTCTCAATGGAAGTTTGAGAGAACATACACATTAGACACGTCTTCTCTGATGTGTCTCCTACAAGTTGGCTACAACAACAAATTTACATTTATATAGCGCTTTTCATGTCAAGAGGATATCACAAGATGAGAGTTTAAGAATAGACACAAATTACCAATTACATGGCATGGGTTCATAGGGGACTGCAAATTAATAATTTAAATTAGTTCCTACTTTCTATAGTCTTGTAATCAACCAAAAAAAACGCAACCTGAAGCTGACGTTTAGATTGAAGCTCTTCACAGAATCTACTGTAAAGTGATTTGACTGCATTTAACAAGAAGGGTGAAAGGAGAATCAAAGGTCAAACATTTCAATTTTACATAGCCTAAGTGAAGACTCTGAAAGACCAAACCACAGTGGAAATTTTTTAGTCTGTTTAAAAAACAGAAAATAATCAACAAACAGAACAATCAAGAGCAGCCTGGGGATGCAATTCCCTGTACCACTTCAAGCCTCCAACTTTGTATACCCGTATAGTTCCCTCTTGAAACCCAGAAAGAGCCTCTCCCACCTTACTTGGAAGGGCATTCCACACGATTATTTTTTTTCCTTTTGTACATTTTTTTTACAAAACGGACAGATGGGGAACTGTGGGCCTGATCCTAAAGTGCCTGAAGTTGGAAGGGCATTTCAAGTAAGGTGTTAGAAGGAGCAACTCTGTGTGGGGGGAAAAAAATCTTCTGAACTCTCCTTTCACACTTGTTAAATGCAGTCATATCACTTTACAGTATATTCTGTGAAGAGCTTCAATCTAAACATCAGCTTCAGGTTTCGTTAACACACGATTAATTTTTTTTTTCTTTCGTACTTTTTATTACAAAACGGACAGATGGGGAACTGTGGGCCTGATCCTACAGTGCCTAACGTCAGACACTCTCTTACTGTGTGTAGGGGTCATAGCTACAGAATGGAGTGGTCAGCAAAATAGCCACCTCCGTCTCCCCTTCCAGTACGCTCTCAAGAATCAAAGCAAGAGATGTCTCTGCTCTTCAATACAGCTTTATAAAATAATAATAATAATTTGGTCACTCAATCCACCCACAACTGTTTGTGGGATACTGCTGTGAGCAATTGACTGCTGCGCTTTGTCCACAAAATATAGTCAATTCACTTTACAGTATATCCCGTGAAGCGTTTTGAGAAAGCTCGAAGATGTGATAAGGCGCTGTTAGCAAATGCAAAGATTATTATTATCTTAAATCGATGGCCTCCAATCACAGACTCCCCTGCCAGTGGAAATAATTTCTCCCTAATCAACTTGTCAAAACGCATTATAATTTTGTACAGCCTCTCAATCTTCTCTGCTCCAACGAAAACAATCCCATCTTCAATTCTAATTTCTTCTTCAATTATGCAAAGGATGTGTGTCAGCCTAGCTCAGTTGGTAGCACTCTCACCTTGAATCAGAAGGTTGTGGGTTTAAGCCCCAACATCAAGAAACTCATAAAATCTAAGCTGATATTCCAATGCAGTGCTGTCAAAGTTGCCATCCTTCGTATGAGACGAAACGTAGGTCTCATCTGCCTGTTCAGTTGGATGTTAAAGATCTCATGCCACTACTCAAAAAGAAAAGGGAGCTTCTCCCGGTGTCCTGGCTAACAATCCCCCAAATAAACTTTGTCACTTATTTCAACAATAACAAATCAAAATTACATTTGTACAGCACGTTTCACGTTGGGAGGAGGTCCCAAGGTGCTGGGACAATAACAACTTGCATTTATGTAGCACCCTTCACGTGGGGTAGTGTCCCGGAGTATTTAATTTCATGGCTGTTTGTTGAGGCATTGCTGTGTGGAATCAAGCTACTGTGTTTCACCTACAAATATCGTTATGCCACTTCACAATAAATCCTATGAAGCGCCATAAAATATCCACTTGGTGTGCAAGGTGCTCTCCCAAATGCAAGGATTATTTATTTTCCTAGTTACTAAATATGCCATTGTTGGAAAAAATCACCTCCATAATTTTTCACATGAGTAAATGAGATACAAAATACAACAACAACAAGATTCCATTTATAGAGCGCCTTTCACGTCAGGAGGACGTCCCAAGGCGCTGTACAGTTGGGTCAGGACCCGAGCAGGAGGGAAGTGGTCAGGGGAGGGGAGAGAAGGGAGGGAGGGAGGAGGGGGTAGAGAGTCGAGAGGGGAGCTGAAGGCACGGTCAAAGAGAAAGGTCTTGAGACCGGCCTTGAAGGAGGAATGCGAAATTTTACGCATTACAAGTACTCTAGCCTTTCATCAATGTACTCAGTTATGCTCAGAACTGGTTGGACAGGGAGCGCTGATCTCATTCCTGTTAGTCACATGCTCAGTTCTATGCCCCAGGACACCCTGTGAACATTGTACCCAGGAATCTTTTTGTGAACATTTAAACAAGCGCATTTACATATTTTTCTCAAAGTATAATTGACAGCCTGCAAAAACATAACAAAATGACCATCTGCACATTTGGGGGATTTTAGGATGAACAAGAGATGAAATGTTAAGAGTAAACCTTTCTTTGTATCCTGTTCAAGAATGCAAGAAACTGATAGTCTCTCTGAATCCTTACTCACAGCAGCAAAATTACCTATAAATATATTTAGCTCTGAACAACACTAATCAACAAATCAATATAAATAAAAGGANTTTTTTGGTGAATTTCAAAATGTCATTAGGAGAAATTGTGACAATGGCTTTTTCTCCCACCACTCCAAAATAAGATACAAGGCAGCCAAAAATCACTGCCAGACCTGCATTACTCCAGTGACATGTGGACACATTCACAAGTTATTTTCAAAACATTTTTAGGAAAACAATTTTGCACTAATAGGAGAGCCATTTGAACAGATTCCTATCAGAACAGAGTATCTGAGACAACTCACAAATTGTGGTGTTCATAGCAGCTGCACAATACCCTTCATGTACATGTTAAACTCATGAAGGGTTATTATTTAAAGGGGAAGGAAGCTCTAGTACTTGCTATTCAAAGTACCATCCTTAAGCCAAATGGAAAGTAACATAAGAAAACTGTTTACATAATAATAAATTGGTCACTCAATCCATGACTGTTTGTGGGGCACTGCTGTGCGCAATTGGCTGCCATATTTTGCCCCAAAATTATAGTCTAAATAATATATTTTACAGTGTATTCTGTGAAGCGTTCCTCTCCTGCCACTCCCTTTACAAACCTCTCTAATAGGGTTTCCATGCTGCCCACAGCGTGGAAACAGCTCTGGTCAAAGTGACAAATGACATTCTGTCCATCTGTGACCAGGGCTCCCTTTGTCTCCTCGTCCTCATTGATATCTCTGCTACCTTTGACACTGTGGACCACTCTATTCTCCTCCACAGCCTCTCTCACCTTAACCTTCAAGGTTCTGTCCCTGAATGGTTCAGATCCTATTTCTCACACCGGCTCCACTTTGTCTCCTCCAGCTCCGTACCATCTTGTGCAGTGTTCCTCAGGGCTTTGTCCTTGGTCCTCTTCTCTTCAACCAGTACATGCTCCCTCTTGGTGACATCATCCGCAGACATGGGGTCAACTTCCACATGTATGACGCCCAACTCTATCTCTCTGCCTCCACCCTCGACCCCAGGACCACTGATGTCCCGTCAGACTGCCTGTCAGACATCAAGTCCTGGATGAGAGCCAATTTTCTACAGTTGAACGTCAGCAAGACTGAGGCTCGCCTGATTGGCTCGCGCCTGCGCCTCCGTGCCTCAGGCACTGGCAGTGTCAGCATCAATGAATGCAAACTCCACCTCACTAAACCAGTCAGGAACCTAGGCATCTTGTTCGACCCTCAACTATCCTTTCTCCCCCACATCTGTGCCACCTCCCCACCTCCATAACATTGCCAACTCCACCATAGCCTCACCCCGCCAAAACCCTCATACATGCCTTCATTACAACCAGGCTCAAGTATGCTAACGTCCTGCTTGTCGGCCTTCCAACTCTTCCCTCCACAAGCTGCAGATCATCCAGAACTCTGCAGCTTGTATCCTCTCCCACACCAGGCTCTGTGACCCTATCACACCCATCCTTGCCCAGCTCCACTGGCTCCCCTTCCCTCAGGATCATTCAAAATTCTCGTCCTCACCTTCAAGGCCCTCCATGGACTTGTCAACCCTCTTACCTCTCCGACCTGCTAACCCCTTATCAACCTGTCCGCTTCCTCCGCTCAGCAACCTTCAGTCTACTTCATGTCCCCTGCCCGGCCCGCCCCACCATCGGTGTCGGGCCTTCAGCCTCACTGCCTCTTCTCTGTGAAACTCCATCCCACATTCCCTTCGCCTCGCTCCCTCCCTTGCTTCTTCAAGGCACGCCTCAAGACCCTCCTCTTTGAACATGCCTTCAGCCACCTTCCTACCACCACCCTCCCCGCCCTCCATCCTCCCTGATCCCAACCCCCTCCCACCCACCACCCTCCCCACTCAGATCCTAATCCCTGACTGTTTCCCGACGTGAAAGGCACTTCACAAATGTAATTTTGTATTGTATCGAAGCAAATGCAAGGATTATTATTACATGAAATAACCTTAAGTTTGAAAAATTGCCAAACCCCACCTGCTTCTCAGTTTGGCCACACCATTGTAATTCGAGAAGAGTCAATCGAGCCAGAGCGGCTCAATTTATTTCAACCTGTAAAGGCATTTTGTACCAGCTCAGAAGCCAAACTGCAGTGACACGACCTCACCCAGCATCAGGAATACATATGAATTATATGCAAGTAGTAAGGAATCATACAGTATTTAAAATTGAGATGAAGTTCAACTTAACCTTTATTCTACAGAGACCACCATCATTTCCACATTCTCAGAAAATCCTGAAGATTTCTCTTCCCTTCCAAGTCTCATTCTGGAGATATCATCTAGTCACCTACACTTCAAACCTCATGTCACCTTTACTTCCACACCTCATGTCACCTTTACTTCCACACCTCATGTAATGCTGATAAATGTCCTTCTCCTCCAGGTCTGGTCCTGAGCCACTACAGATTGCGACTGTTGAGAATATCTGATGCAGTTCAAATAATCAATTGTTCCAACAGCATCATCACTGCAGGTCATTGTGATTTCACCCAAAACATTCTAAATGCAAACCAGCATCAGCGCGGGCCCATCGTCTCCCTTCAACTTTGACTAAAAGAGCATCAAAACTAAACTCTACTCTAATTCCTTTGTACAAAACACAGAATATTCATTGTGACATATGTAAATGCGACACTGTGCACAATTGTGGAAAAATTCTTACATTTAGTCCTAAATGGGTTTCCTTTAAGAGCTACAGAGAATTAGATTCCAAATTAAGGCTTAATTTAAGAATTTTCCACAATTTGGGATGAATTAAATTTTAAGACAAAATTGCCTTACATGCTAAGGCATTTGGGACCCTCAAGTGAAGGTAGGATTGAGTTTGGCTGTGATAGTTGAATATCCTGCCAGCAATCATCAAGATTCACACATAAATAACAACTACTAGGTGAGGTATGAGAGGTTAACCATCTTCCCAACAACTGTCCTTCACTAAAAGGAAAAAAGCCATCAGGGACATATTCTGAAGAGGGAAGAGAAACTGGAGAAAAATTTAAGACTTTTCAGATTTTTTTTTATTCATGATCACCCATCTTCTGGAAACTGACCAAGGAAATATCAATGACTCTGCACAATGATTGGTTTCTGGAATTTTTAATAACAACATGACTAATCTTTGCATTTGATATCAGGCCTATGATGTTGAAAAATCTCAAGTAATTATTTGATTTATTTATTTATCTCAAGTAAGCATTTGATACAGCACTTTTCATGTCTTCTAGACATCTCAAAGCACTTCAGAGAGTATACTGTAAAGTGAATTGACTGTATATTTGTGGGCAAAACCCAGCAGCCAATTGTGCACAGCAATTTGGTTAAAGCATGCCATGAATGCTCAATTTATGTGGGGAATCGGTGGCCAGTGCACACAGAGAAATTCCCTTTTTTTTCCAAATAGTGTTACAAGATCTTTTAGGTCCACCTGAACAAGCACATGACTTCAGTTTGAACATCTCAATTAAGGGATGCAACTCCGTCCGCACATACTATTGCAATGGAGCCTAGACTATGTCCCAAAAAGTTAATTGCCTCAAAACATAACGTTTTGCTTCAGAGTATAAACATCTTCACCAAGAAGAAACTTTTATCAAAACATGGAGGAATGTATTCATTAGCTACAGAAGAAACAAAAAAAGGACTTTGATTAAACACATGACTGAACTTTATGCAATAAAGCTTGGGATTCCATGCCAAATATGAAAATTTAAAGACCAGGAGGTCAGCACACATCATATGAAGTACTGAAATGTGCAAGTATGCTATAAAAGCAACAAGATGCCAAATATGTCATTTGAATCGACAAATTTAGATTTTTAATCTGTACCTGTAGGAAGGTCGCCTCGACAGTATCTCCCTCCGCTTTTGTGAGTCAGTCACAACCTCAACCGAATCTCCAGACTCGTCTGTTTCCGCTATGGTTGCTACCTATAAATACACAAAGTAACGAAAGCTATTGGCAAAATAAATGTTTGGATAGTTAATAAAAACAAAAAGCACAGTGCCATTTTAATCATTTATTTAGAAAACACACCCTTTACAACTCTTTCCCCACCTCCCAGTAGAAACTCCATATAGTGAGTAGAAAACCTGAAACTCAATAGCCTAACTTTTAAACAGCTGTCTGTCCTTCTTATCTTACCATTTCCACAATTGTGATAATAATTCAGCCAATTAGCTAATCAATACTGTATTACCCCAAACTTTTTTTTTTCTATATGAGCTAGCCCCTTATATTGCTGCATGCAAGAAAACAGGAACATAGATCATGGGAGAGAAACTGATTTCTATTTATTTTTATTAGCAGTTGCCTGAGGTAGAGACAAATTCGGGTTCATTCAATTAAACTGTGTGCAGGCTAAATTTATTCAAAAACAACAACAACAAGATTCCATTTATTGAGCGCCTTTCACGTCGGGAGGACGTCCCAAGGCGCTGTACAGTTGGGTCAGGACCCGAGCAGGGGGAAATGGTCAGGGTGAGGGGAGGGAAGGGAGGGAGCGAGGAGGGGGGAAATGGTCAGGGTGAGGGGAGGGAAGGGAGGGAGTGAGGAGGGGATAGAGAGTCGAGAGGGGAGCTGAAGGCACGGTCAAAGAGAAAGGTCTTGAGACCGGCCTTGAAGGAGGAAAGGGAGGAGGCGGCGAAGGCACTGGGGGATGGAGTTCCAGAGCCTAGGGGCTGAGCGGCTGAAGGCCCGGCCACCGATGGTAGGGCGGTTGGGGCGGGGGATGTGGAGCAGACCGGAGCCAGAGGAACGGAGGGTACGGGCAGGTAGGTAGGGGGATAGTAGGTCGGAGAGGTAGGAGGGAGCAAGGCCGTGAATGGCCTTGTAGGTGAGGATGAGGATCTTGAATTCGATCCTCTGGGGGATGGGGAGCCAGTGGAGGCGAGCGAGGGTGGGAGTGATGTGGTCGCGAAGACTGGTGCGGGACAGTACACGAGCTGCAGAGTTCTGAATGACCTGCAGCTTGTGGAGGGAGGTGCTGGGAAGGCCGACGAGGAAAGAGTTCCCATAGTCCAGCCTTGAGGTGATAAAGGCGTGGACCAGAGTTTCAGCAGCGTGAGGGGTGAGGTAGTGCCGTAGTCTGGCGATATTCCGGTGCCAGTTGTGGCGCGGATATGAGGGAGAAAGGACAGCTCAGGGTCGAACAGAACCCCGAGGTTCCTGACCGGCTTTGAGAGGTGGAGAGTGCAGCCTTGGATGCTGATGCTGTCAGCGCCTGAGGTGCGGAGGCGCTGACGTGAGCCAATCAGGAGGGCCTCAGTTTTGCGCACGTTGAGCTGGAGAAAGTTATCTCTCGTCCAGGACTCGATGTCGGACAGGCAGCTGTCAGGACATCGGTGGTCGTGGAGTTGAGGGTAGAGGAGGAAAGGTAGAGTTGGGTGTCATCCGCATACATGTGGAAGTTAACCCCATGTCTGCGGATGATGTCACCGAGGGGGAGCATATAGAGGGTGAAGAGGAGGGGACCGAGGACAGAGCCTTGAGGGACACCGCACGAGACAGTGCGGGGGCCGGAGGAAAACCATTTGTGGAGACAAAGTGAAGACGGTGGGAGAGGTACGACCTAAACCACTCAAGGACAGGGCCTTGAAGGTTTAGGTGGGAGGACAAGCGGTGGAGGAGGATAGCATGGTCGACCGTATCGAATGCTGCCGATAGGTCGAGGAGGACGAGGAGGCAGAGGGAGCCCTGGTCACAGATGGTCAGGATGTCATTGGTGACCTTGACCAGGGCAGTTTCTGTGCTATGGGCAGCACGGAAACCCGACTGAAGGGGTTCGAATAATGAATGGGTGGAGAGGAAAGAGCGCAGCTGGGAGGCGACAACTCGTTCCAGGACCTTGGACAGGAAGGGGAGGTTGGAGATGGGCCGGTAGCTTGATAGCTGCGACGCATCAAGGGAGGGTTTTTTTAAGGTGGGAGTGATGGTGGCAGTTTTTAAGGGAATGGGAATAGAGCCAGAGGAGAGGGACAGGTTGACGATGTCTGTGATATGTGGGGCAAGGAGGTGGAGCTGGGAGATAAGGAGTGGAGTGGGGATGGGGTCAAGGGAGCAGGTGGTGGGTTTCAGGGATAGGATGAGTTTGGTGACAGAGGGTGGGGAAACGGGTACGAAAGTGTGTAGGGGAGGATGGGTAGGAGTCGGAGTGTGGGAGGGAAGGGGTGGGTGGATGTTGGAGGGGAAGTGACCGCGGAGCGAATTCCCTTGATTTTGGATTCAAGGAAATCCAGCATCTCCTCGCAGTGAAGGTTGGAGGAGATGACCTGCGCGGGGTGGCGGGGGGGACGGAGGAGTTGGGATGTGGTAGAGAACAGTAGCCTGGGGTTGTCCTTCGCCTCCAGGATTATCCTGGAGTAGAAGGACAATTTGGCCGAGGCTAGAGTGGAGCGGTAGATTTTGAGGAGGTCCAGCCAGATTTGTCGGTGAACCGTTAGGCCAGATTTGACCCAGGTGCGTTCAGCGGCCCGCATCTGGCTCTTCAGTGAGCGGAGGTGGGTGGTGAACCAGGGGGAGGAGCGAGAGTAGGAGACAGTACGGGAGGTGATAGGGGCAAGAGTGTCAAGTGTGGAGGAGAGGGTGTTGTGGAGGAGGGTGAGAGCAGAAGAGGGGTCGGTGAGGGTTGAAGGCCAGAGCGAGAGGAGTTCAGAGGACTCCAAGGCAGCGGTTACGGATTGAGGGGGTAACTTCTTCCAGGGGCAGTAGAAGATGGTGGTGGGTCTGGTGGAGGTGGGGAGTGGGGTGGAGGTGGTGAAGGAGATGAAGTGGTGGTCGGAGACGGCCTTGTCGGTGATAGTGACATCCGAGACACTGAGGCCCCGGGTGATCACCAAATCGAGTGGGTGGCCGTGACTGTGAGTTCAAATCACTTTCAGATGTGATATCTATGTTCTGTGAGCTCATTAAAGATAACAAATATTTTAAATTAAACTATGCTTATTGGAGAATTTAATGTTGTGGATTAAATTTAAATTATAATATGACAGAGCTGGAAAACAGTTTAAATTAAATCATGTCATACAGCAGCACAGACGAAATGAACTGATTGGCCTCTTCTGCACTGAATTTGTTTTTGTGTTTCTCATGAAACTTTTCATTTTTTTCAACTTTCCCCTCAGCTATTCCAAGCATCTTATGGTAACGATTCAGGAAATAACGACAGTGGCATCATTAGCTACTAATTTTTTTGAAAAAGTGGAGGGGCTGGGAAAGAAAAGGGGAGAAAGATGCAGGGGCAAAGTGGTCATTAAGGTGGATTTTGAAGGCAGACAGGTAGGGGGACAAGGTGCCAGTATTCTGTGATGGGAGTTCCAGAGAACAGGGACAGAATAACTGAAAGTTCACCCACCAATGGTACATAAAGCAGTTCGGTGTTGCTGAGCAGAAGGAATGTCTGGGATAGTAGGGTTGTAGAGGTAGGGTGGAGCAAGGCTTTGAAGAGATCCAAGCTAGAAGAACTAATCTCTACTTGAACTATTCTTGCATTTTTTTTTCTTTCATACTTATGCAAATTTGTGTTCGCTCATAAATCTCTCAGAAAATTAATAATCATTCCAGGAATCTCATTACCATCTCTCCACAACTCACCTCCGTGTAAACATTTGGTGAAATAGCTTCTCAATACTCTAGTGGGAAAAGGAACTGCCCGGTGCAGTACAGGCCAACTGACAAGAACAGTGAACATTCAAATCCTGGTATGTGCTGAGTTAACTAGTCTCTACAACTACAGCTGCTTGTTGTACAACAACAACAACTTGCGATTATATAGCATGCTTCACACAGGAACATCTTGGAGCGCTTAACAGTGGTGGAGCTTGATGCTGAACTGGAAAGAGAGGGGAGCATAGGCAGAGTCAAAGAGGAATGTTTACAGATGCGGTCTAAAGATGGGGAAGGAGGAGGCAAGGTGATAAGAGTATACAGTTAGATAAAAGGACAGGTAGACAGAGTTAATAAGTGAGTGATACCTTTTCGGGCAATTAAACAGTTCCTCTCCCCAGGCTCTGTCCTACTCCCCCCCTCAAAACTGTTGCTATTCCCTCTTCTCCTAAAATACCCACCTTTGATCCCTCGAATTTTGCCATCTACCAGCCCATTTCCTACTTGCTTTTCCTTGCTAAAGTTCTAGAAGGCGTTGTTGCAAATTAACTTAGCTCACACCTCTCCCTCCACTCCCTTCTAGAGCCCCTCCAGTCTGAGTTCTGCCCTGCCTACAGCCAAAGAGAAAGCGCTCGACAAAGTCACTAATAAGGACCTCTCTCTCTATGACCAGGGCTGCCTCTGCCTCCATGTCCTTCTAGGCCTCTCCGCTGCATTCAACACAGTTGATCACGCTATCCTTCTCCACAGCCTCTTCTCTACCACCTCAGTTGGACCACACTTGCCTGGTTCAAGTCCTACTTAACCATCAATTGGGGAGGACAAGTTTGCAGGGCTATGGGGAAAGAGCGGGGCAGTGGGATTGAATTGGATACCTCTTTTCAAAGAGACGTCACAAACACAATGGGCCAAATGGCCTCCTTCTGTGCCGTATACCTCTATGATTCTATGAATTTGTCTCCAGAAAAAAACATTCCTTCCTCCCCCACACAGTCACCTGCGATGTACTCCAAAGTTCCATCCTTGGCCCCCTCCTTTTCCTTATTGATATGCTCCTTCTCAGTGACGTCAACCATGGAGTAAACCTCCACATATATGCGGATGGCACCCAAATCTACTTCTCATCCAGCTGAGACTCCAGATCCGCTGATGTGCTGTAAGCTGATGTCTGTCAGACATCAAGGCCTGGATAGCGCAAACTTCCTGCAGCTGAACGTTGACAAGACGGAAGCCATACTCCTTGGCTCCCATTATGTCTTCTCTCCTGCGGCTCTGATCTCCTGAGCCTCTCCGGCCTTTCCCTAAGACTTAATGAACCTGTACATAACCTGGGTGTCAGCTGTTTGACGTCCAGCTGTCCTTCCTCCCCCACATCCGGTCCCTAACCAAGACCACTTTCCTCCACCTTCATCACATTGCCTGTCTCCAAGCATACCTCACACCCAACGCACTTGAAACCGTCATTACCTCCTACCTCGACTACTCCAAAGCCCGCCTCACTGGACCTCCCAGCTCCATTACCCACAAACTACAACTGATTCAGAACTCTGCCGCTCGTAATCTTAACCACCCACACACTTTGTACCCCCATCACACCAGTCCTCTCCAGGCTTCACTGTCTCCCTATCATAGAACAGATCAATTTTCAAGATCCTCTCACTCATCTACAAATCACTTCATACCTTGGCACCTCCCTAACTTTCTGACCTGCTCTCTCCCCAAAAAGCAGACAGGCTGGTGAAATTTTAATAGATCACTGAGGTAGGGAGAGCAGGACATGAAGGGCTTTATACAGGTATTCAAATTTGTGAAAATGTTAGATGATTCTAAAACTATAACTAACCTGAACAGTCTGTATCTGTGGTGACTGAATGACAGAGGGTTGTGCAGCTTGGATTACTCCCTGGACTTGCACAGTCTGACCAGAAGGCAATGTTACAACAGTTACAGCTGGAGACCCTGAGGAAACTGTAGTCCCAGCTATAGATATCTGCAACAACAAAAAATATTTTTTTAAAAACACAGGTTACATAAATAATTGAACAGCATTTAATCATTTTAGAATCTGAAATGCGAAAAAGATTTTACTGAAAATTACAATTGAGAACTGAAACTATTGGAAAGTACTGAATTAATGTGGCACACTGCTATAGATTCCCATATCTCTGATTTTCAATGCGTACCAACACTGAAACAAACATTAAGATTACAATAACCAAGCTACTCAAATATTAGAGACTGGTTTATTACACAATAAACAAACTGAAAGTAAACATTTTGTATACTAAGTTATCATTGGCTGCAAACTATCTTCAAGGCTGTTAAACAAATGATCAGAATTAGAAAATAGCCAATATCCCATTGACCAGACCGCTTCTTATGCTCAGCACCATCCTGCTTCATATCTCCCACCCTATCCACCCCACCAAGCACACTTTCAGCCTTCGTGCCCCCAATCTTTAGAACTCCATCCTGAGCCCTCTGACTTGCTCCCTTCTAATAATGTTATTCAAGGTCTGTCTTGAGATGTACCTCTTTCCCCTCGCTTGGCTCCCACCCCCAGTTTAGATGCCCAGCCAGTTCTGTTAATTGCTGTGGGAAGTCCTCCTTGTAAAAGGTGCTATATAAATGTCAATTTGTATTTGTATTCTATTGTAATAACTATCTCATTCATTGTTGATATGTTTTGTATGCTTGAATGGAAAAAATATACCAATGGCAGACCTCCACTCCAACAGCACAAGCACTTGCAAATGTGCCCATGACACTGGTAGGGAAAAGCACAACAGAAGAAAATATTAAAATGCCTTCTCCATTAAAATGAATGAATGAGGACAACAGTCTGGAATGGATTTAAACTCAATTTATGACTATCATATTCTTTTCTACAGCTAGTGCAAATTCTCTGCTGGAAAGTTCCTGTCCATTAAATCATACTCTTCTGGTAGATGCCACCTCAATTCTAAAATTACTGGATACCATGTTGCTGACATCCTATCAATAACTACCAGAAAGTGAGACAGTATTCACAAAACAGTGTGCTACCAAGACCTGGACAAACATTAAAATGTTTCTTTTTTTTTAAAACAAATTGTAAGAAATATGTTAAATATTTCTAAAATTATCAAAAGGAACCAGAAACTATAGCCAAGTACTTTTCCTGAGTTATTTCAAGTTTTTAACCCTTGGCCTGAGTAATGATTGTTCTCCCAAACTGACCAGTCATCCATTCCAACAATGAAAATGTTAATACTACATAAAACATCAGGTCTAGCTATTATAATGCTAATTTAATACTATTCAAATAAAATTAATGAAAACTATTTCAAAAATTACACATTTGCTTTCTCATCTTGCCATTTTTCCTATTTGTTTTTTTATTATGTTAACTTCAGCTGCATTCTTCTAATAAAATATATTCTATTTTATTAATAATAATAATCCTTGCATTCGATCTAGTGCTTTATTATGTCTCACAGAGCTTCACAGGTTTGACTGTGTATTTTGTGGATGAAACTTAGCAGCCAACTGCACACAGCAGGGCCCCACAAACAGTCGCTGAGTGGACTGAGTGACAATTTTTTTTAGGGATTACCCCCAGAAAGTGATCCGCCATTTCACTAACAACCAGTGTTCCTACTTATGCTAGGTGAACAGAAGCACGTGGAGTAATACATTATTTGAATGAAACTTTAAATCTCGTCTTAAAGTGCTTGTTCTAGTGGATTGGGTAGACATTAAAATATCCCATTACACTGTTGTGAACAAAACAGAATGTTCACTGGGTGTTGTTAAAAGGAGTAAATTAATCCTGCATCAGATTTTGTTACATTCTTAGTTTAATGCTTATGTTATATGTGTAGTATTTCCTGTAATGGTATTTACCTTACATTTGGACTCTGGAAAGTAAATGGGTAGCTATTGTTAGTCTAATAGCTGCTGTGTAGCTAGTTCATGTCACAATATAAATCTTTTCAAATGACATGTAGCATCACTAAATCCAGCACAAGATTACTGTAACCAAGATTCATCACTGTCCAACAGATTCACTTGCTTCAACAGGGAACACTGGCAAAGAAAGCACAAGTTTTAGATCATAGAGAATCATAAATAAATTATGTTTATGGAACCAGCACAAGGAAAAATCCAAAATTTGTAAATAGTCCATGATAATTTTTTGAAGGTAGTATTTCAGGAACTATTCGCTAATTTTTAAATTCAATCCTACTTATAGAATTTAAGGTTGTGGCTCTGATCCATTCCATTGTTTGTCTCAACAAAATGTCTCTGACTTTATGGACATTTTCATTTCTAGATGTACTAATGATGCTTTCAATTCATAATATTTCAAAGCTGCAGCCCCTTTATGATGCAAGCTAATAGCCAAATGACTCATACTTTGAATCACTCAATATTCAATATGGGTATTTTAAGTGTAGGACAGGGCACAATTAGTTTGATTACCTGTGCAATGGTAGAGATTTGATTCTGAGAATTCTGAGTTTGTATCTGGATGGATTCTGTCACTGAATCGTTTACATTGCCATCTTGCTGATTTTCAACTGTTTCCATGGTCATTTGTCTGCAAAATGTACAATACAGAAACCACATTTGCATCAGAAAGCACATAGTAAAATTCACGTAGATATATTCAGAACCTAAATAACTAAGTTATGTTCTTCATACATAGATGAAATTCAAAATATGCTAAAATACGCTGCAAAAGGACTGTGAAAGTAAAATACACATTGGTAAAGAGCAGAGACCCAGAATTCTTCATGGTCTTAGTTTTAAGGCCAATTGTCTTAAACGTTTAAGATTGTGTAGAATTGAAAAATTCTTAAATTCACTTTAAACTTGTATGTCAGTTTTCAAGAACTGTAGAAAACTGGCTTCCAAATTAAGATTATATGGTGTACAGCAAAGAAGTGGGATTTGGGAGTACTGTAGAAAACTGTACTAACTGGGTCCACTGATTATGATATGTAAACAGTGCAGATAATGGGTCATCTTGTAAATATAAATTGGTTACAGTGCTATCCTAAAACTTCTTCCATCAAGAGTTACATTGTCACTACAGTACCATATTTACCAGCTCTTCTCTGCCTTTCCTTTTTCTCTGACTTTGTGGACATTTTCATTTCTAGAAATACTAATGTTGCTTTCAGTTGCATAACATTTCAATGCTGCTGCCAAGTGAAAGTAAAATCAATTACCATATAAGATATTTCAGTTTCAAAGGACAAACCTCTGCAATGCAATATAATGGATTTGTATTTTACAATTAGGATCACACTTAAATGTTGCATTAAAGTAGTGTACAAGATTGCACAATAAAGGTTACAATCCAAATATTTAGAAATTATTTTGGGATTAACAAATCACTAAATCAGGAGATTTGCAATATTTACCTTTCAAGGTTGCATGCTGCATAAATTCATGTTTTTACAAAGAAATTACTGTTACAAGTAATCTGTTTTCATTGCTGTTTCCTCTTGAACTGAATGTGTCCATTTTTGAAGTTGTGCAAAACAAATGTATATTGTTTGAGATGTGAAAAACGTGTTTACTGTCCAAGTTGTACAAACGTGTTTACAAAGGGAATTAACTAACAAGCAATACTGTAATTGCACACATAAGTTAAAAGCTTTGGTTTCACTGCTTTGGACAAATGCTACTAAATATATTACTATTTACTGTTTGCAAAAAAGATGAACCTACATGACTGTGGGCGACTGTTGTTACAGGGCTAAATTAATTTAAAGGATCAACCCTGAAAAAAACTACGAAACTACAATATTACATTGAATGTTGCTTCACTAAAGGCCTATTAACGTAACAATGCATCTCTAGCATCCCTCCTATTGGGATAGTCAATTTTATATGTAAACCTGCAGTATAAAATTTTGTTTTGAAAAATATGAAAACTTCATGGATAAATGTTTAAACCAGACTTCACCCTCTCTTGAATGTACCACCAGGAATAACAAACAAGATTCATTTTCTAAAAAGGATAGAATACAACTACCTCACTGCCAACTTTACATTAAAAAGTATTTTGTATCAGTAATAAAGTTTAATTATAATTGTGTAGCCGTGGACAGTCAGGTGACTCCTGAAATCCACTTAATGTTCTGCAGTTTAACAAACCTTATTTCAAGCCTCAATGTGCTCACAACCATAATCAATATAGAATTGCCCTCATTTTACCACAATCAAGATATTGAGAAACAATATCTTATATATTGAGAAATAATCTCCGGAATTAGGCAAGCAGGATGTGTCCCTCCAGGGAGAGATTGTGCATCCCATTCCAATAAATATTTCCATGAATAAATGGGGTGCATGAAGCTCAGTTGGGTTTGGATACTCAACCATTGTGATGGGTTTCCATATGGTCAGGTACGGGCTGACTAATAAAAACAGTGCTCTGTAGATATTCAATCACTTTCTCAGATTTATGTTCTATATCTTTAGTTGTACAGCCTAACTCAGCTCCATTCTCTTTACTACTGTCAAACTTGTTGGTTTCAGTGATCCATCAACCAGAAATCCTTAATGCCGGTGTTGTGTCCTGTAGATTAATACTATTTAACTATTCGTTTTTCCCCAATCTCATCACTGCATTTCCCACATTAAATGAACATTTATCATTTCCTGAGTTTCCCAAGTTCAGTTATCTCTTCAAAGAACTCTAAGAGATTGGCAATTCACATTCTCCCTCTCTCCCATAAAGCCATTCTGATTCCCTCTTACAATGCTATATTTCAGCAGGTACTTTATTATTCCCTTTCACAATATCTTCTAATAGATGGCACACTCATGGGCTAGTAGTTCCCATGATCATTTGCCGTTTTGTAAATTGATGTTATGTTATGTTCTCCAAAAATATCCTGTAGAAAATAAGTAATTTCAACATCTACTTCCTTAAGTAGCCTTGTGTGCACCCAACAGGGCAGGTGTCTTATCCAACTACAAAGCTTTAAGCCTGGAACCTCTTCACCTACACTATTTATTATACTTAGAATCTCACCTCATTTTCCACTTGGAATGACATTTCTCTCCGCCAGTCCTGATGCTAACAAATAAAGTTATCCATTTCCTTAGGTAATTCAATATTATATCCTCTTTTGGATCCTTCAGGGGACTTATTATTACATTAATCATGTTTGTTGCCAATATATTTATAAAAGACATGGTTTTGCTGGGGATAGCAGAGCATGGGTGTCAAAGCCAGGCAGACATGTACATGTGAAGAGAACACGGTCCCACCATGGAATCAGATCTGGGTGGCAAAGCTCTGGTTCCATGACATCATGCAGCCAATATCTGGGGACTGAGCGCAGGTTCCAGTTCAAGCCAGATACCCTGCCTAACCCAACAATGCCCTCCACTGGAGAAGCATCCCTCTCCAGATGGCAAAACCCAACTCCTCCCCACTGGGAGGACACGTTAGAGCAGTCTAGGGGAGTGGACGAAGATATAATCTACCTTGATTTTTAAAAACCTTTTGACAATGTCTTGCACAGGTCTCAAAAATTAGAGTTGTGGCAGTAGTCTCTAGGTGGTTAGAGAGTAACAGAAAGCATAATCTTTAATAGAAAATAATCCAATGGAGGCCTATACCCAATGGGGTCTCTGTGAAATACTGTTAATTATTCTATTTATTATAAACATACATAATGTTTATGCTTACTTATGTAGTAAGTTATGGTTGTGATCACTGATGTGATGGCACTAGAAATTGGAGCCAATCAAGTATCTAGAGAGGCGACAGACAAACTGCAAACTGATCTAAATAGGATATTTCGATGGGCAAAAAGTAATGAGATATCCTTTAATATATGGAAATTAAGTATCAATATGCCTCAGCCAACAAAAAACAACTTTGACTACCCTGAATGGTGGAAACCCCCACTCCACCACCCGTGCTAGGCCCACTCGCACTGAAGCTGATTGACCAAGAATGGCATTTCCTATCTCAAATATTGAAGTGCTTCCGGATCTAAAACCATAGACATTGGCAGCACAGAAGGCCACGAAGCCCATCATATCAGTGCTGGCTGTTTTAAAGAGTAATAATTTCATTCCCGTTTACCTGCCTTTTATCCATACTCCGACAGTATACTTCTTCAGGGTACCACGCCTGGAAGAATTGTATGTACAAGAAAGGTGTGTGTGTGGGGGGCGGGCACCATTACAATGAAGGGCTTAAGGAAATGAGCCTGTGGTCTTGTTGAGGTCTTCGACATTCAATACAAGTGACAGATGGCAAATTCTTCAGTGTGTGTATTCCATAACTGGAGACCCCATCTTCAAGCTGGATAACTCACTTCTATCTCGGCGTGAGATAGCATTTCACCACACAGGGAGTGATCGACAACTGAAACAGGCTCCTGCGTGATACTATCTGTGTAAGTAACATCCACCCATTCAAGAAATGTTTGGACAGATTGCCAGTTACAGACAGGAAGCCTAACTCTGTCACACTTACATTGCTGATAGCAATTATAATAGGGTATAGGGGTCATTGAAGATGAGCTCAGCCATTCTGTAGATCACTCAACTGCTGGAGATAAATGTTCCAGACCTTATTCCTTAAATTGCCAGCAGGGGGTGAAGGAATGAGTCGGGCAGGTGGGTTGGATTCCTGAGCTCCCCTTGTGAGTGGGTGGATTCAGTGTAGTTGTATTGTTGAAATGAACGTGGAATGGGGTATAGGTGTCAGTCTGGCCTAGCACCATGCGTGAACTTGTTTGATCTCAACCTTTTTTCTTTCATTGTATCTATGCGATTTACTCTACTATTCCCTAGTTACATAATATCAGATATAATCTCATCAACCTCTTATAGAAGAATCATGTATATATGACTTGCTAGATCATGTAGCAGTCCAGCATTACACCCAGAACCTTTTTTTGCTCCTTCCCCCCAACCCACCCCCATTATAATCCTCCAAATAATCTGGTCATCCATAACCATTGTATTAAACGATAAACACTTTTTTTTCAAATTCCCTAATTTGAAAAAAGTTTCAGAGCAAAATGGTTCTTCTGGACCTGGTCGTCAACAGTTAAGTTTCCTCCCTTAATATTGCTTACCGCAATCCACATGTGTTCATGTTACTGTCACCCAATGCAGTTTCATCCATTTGATTTGTCACGTGCTCCATCATGAACATTCATCCTTTCCACCCTGCAGAGCATTCTATTTTTCTGTAAGTTGACCCCCGCATTCTACAATGAGCAGCAAATTCTCGTGATGCCAATGTTACACATTCACAATTAAGAGCAGGAATCCAGATTTCTAATTTTATTCCTAATACCTAGTATTTATCTACAAAATGGGCCACCTGACCACCACTTGTTTTTAATGAATTCAAGATCCTCATCCTCACCTACAAGGCCATTCACGGCCTTGCTCCCTCCTACCTCTCCAACCTACTATCCCCCTACCTACCTGCCCGTAGCCTCCGTTCCTCTGGCTCTGGTCTGCTCCACGTCCCCCGCCCCAACCGCCCTACCATCGGTGGTCGGGCCTTCAGCCTCTCAGCCCCAGGCTCTGGAACTCCATCCCCCAGTG